GTCTGTCTCAGTAGGGCGAAGAGACTTGTGGACCTCATGGTAGAGCCCATGAGTTTCGACAGGATTGGTAACCTTGGAAATTCGCCGACGATGAAGGCTAGGCTGCAGGAAGAGGTTAGACTTGGGGAGTTAGCACAGAGTACGAGGGTCAAGTACACGGACATGGGCGTCTTCAGCGCCGTCGCGGGTAACCAATGACGTGAATTGCAAAGAGAAAAAGAAGAAGAAAGGGTCTCTTCCACCTCCCGCGGACGCACACGTCTGACGACAGTTACATCTATCAGCTGTCGCTCGTTTTAGCGACAGCTACTATATCTTTTATTTTCATGCCCCACCTTCTTCCTGCGGTGCGTGCTGAAGTTCATTTTTATCGCGAGCAGGGCCCAACCATCCCCTTCCCTCGTCAACGGTGTGGTAACGTCGAAGTTTGGTACTCACAAGAGCTTTTCAGCTCTCTTTCGCTTTCACCCGCATATTTGTAAATTTTTCACCCCATGAGGATTCGAACTCACGACCTCTGCGACTAGCGGATTACGAGGATGCCACTAGACCACCGGGGCGATCGGAGTGTGTGTGTGTGCATCGCTGCATGAGAGGGCTAGAATACTTCTCAGGAGCAGCAGTAATTCCCTTTCTCGCACCAGAAGCAGCAGTGCCATGATCGGGAGCTATAAGATTTGAAAGGTTCCCGGAACGTTTCCGAAACGTGCGTTTGGTCTTATAGAACGGTATTTGGTTCCCAGAACGTTCCCTGAACGGTTCCGGACCGGTACTTCTTCGTAGTTCCGCCGGTAACCGACATAAACGCTGACCAGGCAGAGCGCACGCCCCCCATCGGAGCTCACTCTGTTTCCTGCCCAGCTCAACAAAAATACAACAAATTTGCATTTAGGTGCACTTTTCTCTGTACACAGGTGGTTGTTCCGAAATCCCAAAGTACCGGCAAACGCCCTGTTTCCAGGCGCATCGATCTACGGAAAGCGATTTTTATTTTTTGTTCCGCTTCTTCGTTATTTCCAAATATCCCGAATTATTGACTTGGTTTTTCCTGGGGTGTGTTTTTCTCAGAGCACGATTCTGAGACCGGATTTCGACAGCTCTCGAAAATCCCCAGGTGGTTTTTTTCTCCGATTTCGATTTGAGAGAAAAAAAAAAAAGTTATGCACGAAAAACTAGATCTGGGGTCCCATTCGGCTTGGTTTTTCCTGCGATATTCAACCGTACGATTTTCAAATAGACCGCGGCAATCGATTCCTCTCGAAAATCCCCAGGGGGGTGTTTTTTCGATTGTCGAAAAAAACTCCCGTTCGCGAGATAGTTATTTGTATTTTTGTTTGGCCGCCCAGCAAGCGAGGAGGAGTTTTCCCCCGTGGCTACGCGAGCCCCCACCCAGCTTGTGCGCAGGGCGCAACCCACCCCCACACGCTCTGCAACGGTGCTCAGCACCCAAATTCGTCATGGGTCGGCGGAATAAGCGCCGCCGCACACCTCAAAGGGGAAGCGGCGGCCAATTCCAGCGCCGTGAGTGCTCTGCGTCAGCTGCCGATCCACCAACCCCCGATGACAGCACCCTCTCTACCATGGAAATCGATGACGACCAAGGCCGCGACGAGGACTATCGCGACGAGAGCACTGGTGCCTTCTCAGGTAGTGGACAGGCCACGCTGTCTTTCGTAGGGTCTGCTGATGCATGCGTCATGTCCGCAGCAGTTCGAACGGCAGAGACTGCTGTGTGGGCCGCCTCGGAGTGCGGCGCAACCTCACCGCTCGACAATCGCCCGGCGCACATTCAGATGTATAGATAGGTTAAAGTGTTGTAGGGGGCTAGGGGGGTATAGGGGGTTAACAAGTTTTTCGTGTGATTGAGAGCGAAGTTTCTGATTGAGAGCGAGATTGCGCGATGCGCTGTAGCTGGACTACCGCTGAGAGGTGGAGCTTGCTGCGTGACTTGAATTGAAGGCCTAGCCCGTAGCTACAAGCCGATACCCTGGTCATCCTGTGGGCGTCTCTCGTTGTGGAGCTACAGCGGGGAGCAGAATCTACAGCAGAGCTCACCGCCCGCGATCAAATCGCCCTGAAACAGTTTGAGGCAGGAATAGCCAATCTGGGGAAATCTAGCAACTTGTCTAGCTCCTAGCTGCAGCATCCGATCGCGATGACACGCATATGCTCGTGACGCTGCTGATGAGACCTTCAATTTGCGCCGCTTCTTGGAAGAGCCCGCCCCCTACTTCCCAAGAAATGGCAAGAGGCGTCTGGACCCGAAATTTCAATTTTTTTGGCTCCCGCTCTCAATCGTATACTCCGCTCTCAATCAGGCGAAAACCCTGTTGGTTCCGTTACATGATGTGATGAGGGTATGGGGGGTTAGGGGGCACCGTGGATCATTTTGGGCCGAAAATGTCGCAAAACACCCGAATTAAAAAAACTCACCGGATATCGACGCAACTCGACGCCGCCGTCACGGCCAAAGTTGTTTCAAGTTTCCATTCGATTTTTTTCGAAAGTTATCACACCCTGTACAACTACTTTAGTTGCCAGTTGTCTGGCAGACAACTATTTCTTGAACAAGTTGCGCCACTAGCTGCCTGCAGACAACTACTGTTTGGAAAAGCTGCGCAACTAGTTGTCCGCAGACAACTATTGGGTAGTTGCTGCCCTGCACAACTAAAGTTGTAGTTGCCAGTTGCAGTTGTACAGGGTGTGAAAGTTATCGCACAAACCGTCATTGGACAAATTGTCTTGGATGGACCATACAACATCTGTTTCTCATTTCTCTTTGAACCAAATACCATTTGGTTGTAGACTCACGTCTACAGTGCACCTCAGCACACCTGTCAACAAGGTGTGGCACACGCTTCTGTTACCTTGCTTGCTCACTGCTACTGCCGCCGTAGGACAGGTCAATTGAACAGATGGACTTGTGACTTATTTCATCTGCCGATACATTGTCTTGTTTTTAGTGAGGACCTCTTTTCAGCAGATCTGACGATCGCTGAAAATAACACACCAAGCAATCTAACACCAGCAAAACCACCAGGGAACTATTCTTGACTACACAGTCTTAGCAGACCCTAAGTAAGCCTCTAATTTTCGACACACATATTTCGCCGAAGGGGCGAAAAAGCAAATCGCACGGCATTTTCTCTCAGCCCACCCTCTTCTGTCCGTACTAACTACTCCCTCCCGTGGTCATAGGTATACGAAAGAAAATAAACTGGATCCGAAGGGTCCGCAAGCCAACAAAAGTTAGCGACAGATAGTCTAGGCCACTCCGCTCGCCTCTACACGCTATCTGTGCGAGGTATCCCTAGATTGGAAAAGGAAAGAAAAATAAAAAAGAACGAGAACAAGAACAAGAAAAAAAAAAGAAGAGAGCAGATAGATGGAGAGAAGGGAAATCGAAGTAGAAAGACACAGACAAAGAAAGGCACACGCCGTTGCGAGAGACAGACAACAAACAGAGCAACATGACAGTGTCACAGAAGCTTTGACGCTATCGATTCATATAGTCTCCATATTTAGCGTAACATCGACTGGCTAGAGTCCAATTAGTTTCGTTCATTTCATGGTCAGTTTCATGATATCTTACCATTTGAGTCAAGGGGGGGCTATCAAGGTGGGACTAGCGCAAGGGGGGTGAAATCAAGGGGGGACTACCACAAGGAGGGTTTAATCAAGGTGGGTCTAACCGCACATCGACTCACAGGTTGTTAGCTCTCTTAGCGTGTGGTCAAAGTCGCTTCCTTCCGAATTGGCCGTATGAAGTAAACACGAGAGGGACGAGACCCTAGAAGGGGTCCCGTCTCTGATTCAGATATTATACCCGAAGGTATACCCTAGCCGTCGTCAAACCATCGCGAGATGGAATGAATCTCAGTATTTAGCGCACGTTCATGCTACCGTGACACTCCCCCAGCATCCCCAGCATATATGTGCCGAAAAACACAAGAGGCTAAGGAGGTAGCAGAAGGTGCGTCTCCCCCTCATCAAATCATACCACGCCGGGACAATAGATCTGAAAAGGGAGAGTGTCGCCCTCCCTATAGGTTTTACCACATAACACGTGGGTTTGAAACTAGCGGAGGACGAGTGCCGCCTCCCTCAGGTTATTCCACATCCACGAGTGGGTTTGAACATGATGGAAGGCGGATGCCGGTCTGGAGGTCGACACCGATATTACATCGCCTTGCACAGGTAGACAAATGGCTAGGGTCAAAATCCTCTAGAGGATAGGTGAAACGGCAATCCTCAGAGGATTGC